TCTAAAAAATATCTTAAGTATAAGCATATTTAAAATCAGCAGGCTTCCATGCCAACCTAAGGGCATTGAATGAAAAGATGATTTGTTATAAAAATTGACCTCTGCTTCAAGGTCAACCCTACATAACTAAGTAAGTAAAGGACCCTTTCCATACCTTCAGACTATAGGGCTGGACCTGTATTTGATAGACCAATTGGCACTTAGTGGCTGATATAGTCAGCATCACATCAGCCACCTTTACTTCCCAAGATTGTACCCATTTATGGCTGGGTCGACTAGGGAGCCAAGGTCATTTTTTAACAAGAAAAAGATACAACTAGTTACCAAAAATCAAAGTGGTTAGTGTCATTTTGACCACAACTCAGGTGTCTACAAATAAGGAACTAGCATCATATACTCAGTTTGTGTCAAATTGTGGAAAAGGATCAGTTACTGTTTGATGTTACTTGTGCCCTGCTGTGGTGTAGTGTGAGGATTTATTGCTTCTAGAAAGGATCACTACTGACCAAATAAAAAAGTAAAATGAGTACAAACACAGATAATTTCATTTAAAAAATAACAAACAAACAAAGGAAGTGATTGGCACAAGAAATTTTGCTTGATTGGGAAAAATATTTTTTAAATAGATAAATTCTACAAAACTTTTCTGTTTTGTGTTTTCCTGTCTGGGCATTGAGCACCCTGAAGTTAGAACAATCTTGTTCAGAGCGGCAAGCCAACAGCACAAATCTCAGAGACCCCGTTGAAGCTTCAAATATGGTGTGCCCACATCTGCCGCACCATCCTTCTATAGTTTACTATAATTTAGATAAAATGATGTACAATGACATAAGAAACATGTGTTACAATGCTTCAGAAAGAAATGTTAATTGAATGTTTAGGGACAAATAGCAAAGCCAAGTTATGAACCTAATAATAGACAGGACAATAAATGATTTTATGCACACTACCAGATGTGTGAAATAACATGATAAAACTTGATGAGAGGCGATAAATGCTTACATGATCGATAAGAAGGCATTTATGACAACAAAGGTGAAAAGTATAGTGCATGAAATCAAAAGAAAAAGCCAGACAGTATTATACTAGACAATTAGGTGATAGAAAATTGAAACCAAGTTAAATAATCTGGTATTGAATTTGTTAAAAATATGACAAATTTAAACCTGGCAGTGGAAAAAAAACTAAAAAATAATGGTGAAAAAAAAACCAGCAGTAAACCTTTTGAACTTTTTGTTTATTAAAGTTATCATGGGGGAAACAAATTGTAAATAAAAACAAAGACCAGAGGAAGATACATTGTATTTTTGTTTTTTAAGACACAGACTCACATAAGTTATAAGAAAATAAATGTTTTTTTTTTTTAAGTATTGGGTGGAGGGGGGAAGGCTATGCTAAAAGTAAACGGTTCAGTGTCTTAAAAATTTTATTTTATAAAGCACTACAGAGCTTGTACAGAGCTAGGCAGTAAAAAGATGTTTCTGAATCACCAATGTAATTCACTATTATTCCTTTTATAGCTGTGTGTGTGTGTGTGTATCGGTGGGTGTGGGGGAAAGAGGAGAGGGGGGGACCTTTTAATGCTAATAGTGCATCAGGCATATGATGCTAGACTCATTTGTATGGACCATTAAGCCCTCATTGGTTGGTGTTGTCAACATCAGGCTGGTGGAAGCACAGAATCCAGCCCTCATTGGTTGGTGTTGTCAACATCAGGCTGGTGGAAACACAGAATCCAGCCCTCATTGGTTGGTGTTGTCAACAGCAGGCTGGTGGAAGCACAGAACCCAGCCCTTATTGGTTGATGTTGTCAATATCAGGCTGGTGGAAGCACAGAATCCAGCCCTCATTGGTTGGTGTTGTCAACATCAGGCTGGTGGAAGCACAGAATCCAGCCCTCATTGGTTGGTGTTGTCAACATCAGGCTGGTGGAAGCACAGAATCCAGCCCTCATTGGTTGGTGTTGTCAATATCAGGCTGGTGGAAGCATAGAATCCAGCCCTCATTGGTTGGTGTTGTCAACATCAGGCTGGTAGAAGCACTGAATCCAGCCTCATTTGTTGGTGTTGTCAACATCAAGCTGGTGGAAGCACAGAATCCAGCCCTCATTGGTTGGTGTTGTCAACATCAGGCTGGTGGAAGCACAGAATCTAGCCTTCATTGGTTGATGTTGTCAACATCAGGCTGGTAAAAGCACAGAATCCAGCCCTCATTGGTTGATGTTGTCAACATCAGGCTGGTGGAAGCACAGAATCCAACCCTAATTGGTTGGTGTTGTCAACATCAGGCTGGTGAAAGCACAGAATCCAACCCTCATTGGTTGGTGTTGTCAACATCAGGCTGGTGGAAGCACAGAATCCAGCCCTCATTGGTTAGTGTTGTCAACATCAGGCTGGTGGAAACACAGAATCCAGCCCTCATTGGTTGGTGTTGTCAACATCAGGCTGGTGGAAGCACAGAATCCAGCCCTCATTGGTTGGTGTTGTCAACAGCAGGCTGGTGGAAGCACAGAATCCAGCCCTCATTGGTTGGTGTTGTCAACAGCAGGCTGGTGGAAGCACAGAATCTAGCCCTTATTGGTTGGTGTTGTCAATATCAGGTTGGTGGAAGCACATAATCCAGCCCTCATTGGTTGGTGTTGTCAACATCAGGCTGGTGGAAACACAGAATCCAGCCCTCATTAGTTGGTGTTGTCAATATCAGGCTGGTGGAAACACAGAATCCAGCCCTCATTGGTTGGTGTTGTCAATATCAGGCTGGTGGAAGCACAGAATCCAGCTCTCATTGGTTGGTGCTGTCAACATCAGGCTGGTGGAAGCACAGAATCCAGCCCTCATTGGTTGGTGTTGTCAACATCAGGCTGGTAGAAGCACAGAATCCAGCCCTCATTGGTTGGTGTTGTCAACATCAAGCTGGTGGAAGCACAGAATCCAGCCCTCATTGGTTGGTGTTGTCAATATCAGGCTGGTGGAAGCACAGAATCTAGCCCTCATTGGTTGGTGTTGTCAACATCAGGCTGGTGGAAGCACAGAATCCAGCCCTCATTGGTTGGTGTTGTCAACATCAGGCTGGTGGAAGCATAGAATCTAGCCCTCATTGGTTGGTGTTGTCAATATCAGGTTGGTGGAAGCACATAATCCAGCCCTCATTGGTTGGTGTTGTCAACATCAGGCTGGTGGAAACACAGAATCCAGCCCTCATTGGTTGGTGTTGTCAATATCAGGCTGGTGGAAGCACAGAATCCAGCTCTCATTGGTTGGTGCTGTCAACATCAGGCTGGTGGAAGCACAGAATCCAGCCCTCATTGGTTGGTGTTGTCAACATCAGGCTGGTAGAAGCACAGAATCCAGCCCTCATTGGTTGGTGTTGTCAACATCAGGCTGGTGGAAGCACAGAATCCAGCCCTCATTGGTTGGTGTTGTCAACATCAGGCTGGTGGAAGCACAGAATCTAGCCCTCATTGCCCTCATTGGTTGTTGGTGTTGTCAACATCAGGCTGGTGGAAGCACAGAATCCAGCCCTCATTGGTTGGTTAGTGTTGTCAACTTCAGGGTGGTGGAAGCACAGAATCCAGCCCTCATTGGTTGGTGTTGTCAACATCAGGCTGGTGGAAGCACAGAATCCAGCCCTCATTGGTTGGTGTTGTCAATATCAGGTGTCAACATCAGGCTGGTGGAAGCACAGAATCCAGCCCTCATTGGTTGGTGCTGTCAACAGCCCAGGCTGGTGGAAGCACAGAATCCAGCCCTCATTGGTTGGTGTTGTCAGAATCCATCAGGCAGGCTGGTAGAAGCACAGAATCCAGCCCTCATTGGTTGGTGTTGTCAACATCAGGCTGGTGGAAGCACAGAATCCAGCCCTCATTGGTTGGTGTTGTCAACATCAGGCTGGTGGAAGCACAGAATCCAGCCCTCATTGGTTGGTGTTGTCAACATCAGGCTGGTGGAAGCACAGAATCTAGCCCTCATTGGTTGGTGTTGTCAACAGAATCCATCAGGCTGGTGGAAGCACAGAATCCAAGGCCCTCATCATTGGTTAGTGTTGTCAACTTCAGGGTGGGGGTCAATATCAGCTGGTGGAAGCACAGAATCTAGCCCTCATTGGTTGGTGTTGTCAACATCAGAATCTAGCCCTCATTGGTTGGTGTTGTCAACATCAGGCTGGTGGAAGCACAGAATCCAACCCTCATTGGTTAGTGTTGTCAACTTCAGGGTGGGGGAAGCACAGAATCTAGCCCTCATTGGTTGGTGTTGTCAACATCAGGCTGGTGGAAGCACAGAATCCAGCCCTCATTGGTTAGTGTTGTCAACATCAGGCTGGTGGAAACACAGAATCCAGCTCTCATTGGTTGGTGCTGTCAACATCAGGCTGGTGGAAGCACAGAATCCAGCCCTCATTGGTTGGTGTTGTCAACATCAGGCTGGTGGAAGCACAGAATCCAACCCTCATTGGTTGGTGTTGTCAACTTCAGGGTGGTGGAAGCACAGAATCTAGCCAGTAGCCTCTGTGAACGCTTAGCTGATAATGAACACTTCCTATTGCTTATGTGTGTTTGCATTTTATGTCTGCATGAATAGAAATGGTTTTAGATAGAAATGTAAAAAAAAAAAACATAATTTTTTTTTCCAAAGGAAGAAAATTAGGTACACTAAGTTTAGTTTGCTATGTTTAGGTAACGTTTTCTACTTAAATACAAATTTAGAGAAAGATACAGCCTTAAAAAATTTTAGGAGTCAGTGTTAATGTTTTTCGCATTTATTTATTGTTTGTACAGTTAATGATTGTAAGTTTTAAATGTGATGTTAGAATGTTTGCTAGATGAATTTGTTATTCTTTCAAGATTTCTTGAGCTGTTGTGTAGTAAATTTTTTCAACTTGTGGTTATCTCATCCTTAGATTTACCTTTGGCATGCAAATCTGAGATATTGGATTTTAAAGTTGTTTTCCATTTATTTGTTCGCTGCCGTATATATATTTATTTTTATTTTTATTTTTCATAGGCAAATGTACAGCACAGAAGATCAACTGCAGCAGCCTACATGGATGAATTGCTCTCTGGTAACTTGTTTATTTCAGCTGTTTGTTGAGAAGACAATGTGTAGACTTTTATGTATTTCCTGGTAACTAAAGTGTTTTTGCAGCTGTTTACTGGGTATTAGGCAGACAGTTTGTGTGCTAATGTGTAATCTGATGTTTATTTAAGATGTTCATTAGATATTACAATGATAGTTTGTAGGCTCATAAAAGAAACTGCATAGCAGCCCAGATATCAGATGGTGCTTGCTTGTTAAGCAGAGGTTGGTGTGGACCATAGACTGGTAGGACTGTAGACAACCTCTGCTTCCAGCATTAGAATAAGGACACTACAATCTGTAGTTGTCTGTCTGAAGCCATTCAGCTGGACACCTGTTGATGTCTGTCATCTGGAAAGCAATAGAAAAATCACTGACGAATTGTTCATAACAAACCAGAATTTCAAACACTGATAGCCAGGCATCGCTCCCCCTTTGTCCCAAATATGGTTTAAAAAAATAATGCAGAGAAAAACTAATCCATCGACATATAATGGCCACATTGAAGGGAGAAAACAACTTGAGGTTGGTGCACTGTTTGCTTGTGTGCACTGAGGTTGGTGCACTGTTTGCTTGTGTGCACTGAGGTTGGTGCACTGTTTGCTTGTGTGCACATCAGAACATCATAAATATAATCAAGAGGCCAGTTTGTAAGATAAATGCACGTGTAGTCCCAATACCAAAGCATGTTGTCAAAGTCGACTAATTAGTGGTGTTTCCTGCAAAGTTTGAGTGCATCTGCCAGAGAGGTGAGGAACCAACAGTCTGCTCACGAGAAAGCCAGATCTCTAAACGTATATGCTTGTGAAACTCAAGTTCTGGAACAAGACTGAAGTCCAGAAGTGGATGAACAACCTGTTATTTCTCCCAGAGTTAACAGCCGGTGACTGCAAAAAAGAAGAAGGTTTTTCCTTCTTTGTCTTTTTTTGGCTGTCAGCAGTGCCCTCTTAATGCATGGGCCCGCTGGGAACTTGTCTGGGAGTCCCACACTGATTTGTGTGTGTCAAGTGACCTGCAACAAATAAAAATGTGTTAGTTGCGTATCCTTTACAGTACATTGTGAAAAGTTCTTGTGGAGCCCCATCACACTGGTATGCTCAGTGTTTGATTGATTATCATTTTTTAAACACAATATCATTTTTGCCAGGTATCTAATTGAAATTGATCTATCCATTAACCACTGTCCCTAATACTGAAATATATATAAAACAGTTGTTTATCTTGCAGCTGTGAGTTATGAGTTGGATTATCTTTACAGCACTCGGGACACATCCATAGGTGCTCAGATTCCTCCCTCAAAATATTCATCAGCATCGCGCAGTTAATAGTGCCAGTCCTGTGCTGATTGACAAGACTTTGTGTGTGTCCGGTGTGCTTCTCATGCTTGGCTGTGCCGATCTTTACTCCCACTTCTTGTATTCTTAGCGGTGATGTGGACAGGTTGTTTCCCAAATCCTCAGAACGTCCAATCTCTCTAAGGGCTTTGACAATGTCTGCGTGATCAATGGGCCGGCCATCTTCAGTTAATGCGGTACCTGCCAGTTTATCAGCTCTTTCATTACCAAAACACCTGCATGACCTGGGACAAATATGAAGGTAACTGCACACACAGAAGTTTTGCAATGACTCAATCCACTGTTTGTGTAACCAGCCTGCCTCGACCCGCTGGATCATACTCATAGAATCACTTGTAGCACAGCTCTCTTCTTTGAGGCGTACGTTCTTGTCACACCCAGGTTCGTCTTTAAGTTTGCTACAGGAGGAGTCGATTGGAAGATTAAAGACGAGGATAAAGATGGTCGTGTCGATAGTGGCGATGATGATGATGATGTCTTGCTAGCTGCATGCTTCTCACGTAACTCTGCTTGCTTAATAAGGTGCCTGGAAACAACTATTCTTGTCTATACTGTCTTTATTGTGATATCTCAACAATGTCACAAATAACATCAATGATATTCTGAATAGCACTAAGTTATCTCTATGGCTAAATACTCGTAGGTTCACGTTGTGTTCTTCTTCTTTAGTTACTTTGTTAAAATGGTTCTAGTGTCACTAACTGCCACCTGGCTTCTAGTACTGTTGGTACTAACGGCTTGATCGTCGACTCTAACTCTGTAGTGTTCCTAATGTGTCTCTGTTGACCATTGATCCATGTATATCTTGTGTGTCGTCTCTGTAGTTCGATGTCTCGATTTCATGTCTGCTCTCCAGTGACTGTCTTCTAGGTTCAATATGAATGGCTGCTCTGCTTCCAGTGTTGAGCTGGCATCGAGGATCATTGAGACTAGTCGCTCGTCCTCTGAGTCTCAACGACTGAAGGCTTCTAGTGTTGGGCTTACATCTCTACCACTGAAGGCTGTCTTGGGAGCCCATGTGACTGGCCTCTCCTCTCTTGAGTCTTGTGGACTGAAGAATTGCTAAAGTGCTTTGTTACTCGCTATTTATACTTGGATGCTGGAATGCTAGATATTTGTTTTCTTCTCGCTTTGTCTGCTTCTAGAATATTCTAGTACACCTCAACTTGTTTACTGGGTAGGTTCTCACGTGGGATTTTCTAAAAATATCTCGATTGCATCAGATTTCATCATCCTATTCTACACAAATATGGTAGTTAAACTGACACCTGACATCAATAAAAGCTTCTAGGAAAACAAGTGCAATTGCGTTTGCTTTGATAGGGCATGACAACAAAGTTTTTACTAGTACGACAGGGTTGGGTCACATGATGAAAAGAATGTCTTTCAAAACTTCTAGAAAGAAGGCCAAGGCCAGACAATGACGTCAAATACTATTTATAGAATATTCATTTGCAAAACATTTCTCTGTTAATAACAAACGAAGTTTCTAGAAAAGAATGTCAAGGCTGCCAAAACTTGTTGATTTCCTTATATCCTATCTTTGTGCCTACTAACAAACAAGCTATGACCCATTCTGTTACACACTCAGCACACAATATTCCTGTGATTCTAGCCATATGAAAACTTTTGTTACCGCCCTCACCTCCAATGTCATGCTGCTGGTTGTTATGGAGAAGGCACCGCTGGCTTCTTGAACTGTTCTGCCTGAAGAGCCAGCTGTAAAAGCCCATGCACTCTTATGTCTTCGTATAATGGATCCGTCTGTAAAGATCAGTACATCTGTCTCATCTGACTTGTCACTGATAAGCACGCATACCTCAACATTGACAGCAGCTGGATTCTGCTCCTGACAACTTCTATTAAGCGTTACAACACAGGAGAATGTGAGATTGGGTGCTTTAGACACTAGTATCCACTCCTCACCTGGATGGATTTCTGTAAGGCTGCAGATCTGCATGATGTCATCCTCTGCCCTACACAGCCATGATTTGCCCCTTTTAAGTTGGTTGCCCTTTTTCCTGAAGAGCATGTGATGCAAAGGGTGTTTCAGATCTGAGCCCTCCTGAAATTGATTCTGTAGTTCATGATAGGGAAGTCAAGAAGGTATCTCACTGTACACAAGAGGTGTCTCCATTGCACCCCAGAATAAAATGCATTGCTATGTTTTGCACCTTCTCAAGTCTTTCAGTCTGTGTATGGCTGACAGTGAGGATGGCTAGAGCATATTCGATGGGAGAAAGTACAAAACCCTGGAACAGAACAGGTCTGTGCTCAGTATTTGCGGCAGCCAGGACTCTCATTGCTGACAGGCCTTTGCGTGCTTTTGTTATAACTTGGTCAACATGTTCTTTGTAGGACAGGCTGCAATCAAACCTCACTCCGAGGTATGTTATCAGATTTTTTCTCGTCAAAACTTTTAGCTGCTTTCCACAGCTGGTAAGTCTGCCTTCACTGTTTGCGTGTTCAAGGAGAACCACGTTACTGAGGCCTTCGAAAGGTTGACATGAGCATTAGAGTCTATACGCCAGGAGGAGATGTAATCAAGTTTACTCTGCATTGCTTTGGCAATTTCTTGACCATCTCTTCCATGTCGTTATATCAAGACGTCATCAGCAAATGACAAGGTCCTGTCACTCCCGTGCAATTGCTGCTCAGTTATCAGCACTGGGCCTAAATATATGACTTATTCTATTTTAAAAAAAAATTATTGTTATCGGTTCACAAATGTTTTATATTTTGTTTTTAACAAATTTTTTTTTCCAGATAAAATCATTGTGGAGCTGACTATCCTCCAAGGCAAAGACATGACAGCAATGGACAGAAATGGTAGGAAGTCTGTGAACAGACAACATTTGTTGGTTATAGAATTTCACTTTTTGGATATATCATTATTTCTTCTGTCCAGCCCACAGTACTTCAGTGAATGCTTTCCTAATCAGTCTTCCACTGCTATCTGTCATCAACAATACCTGTAAAGGTGGCAGTGCCATCACTTTAATGTTATCTGTGCTGTGTTTCTCTTATTTTATCTGTGCAGGATTTCTCTTGTCTGTTATCTGTGTAGAGTTTCTCTTGTCTGTTATCTGTGCAAGGTTTCTCTTGTCTGTTATCTTTGCAGGGTTTCTCTTGTCTGTTATCTTTGCAGGGTTTCTCTTGTCTGTTATCTGTGCAGGGTTTCTCTTGTCTGTTATCTGTGCAGGGTTTCTCTTGTCTGTTATCTTTGCAGGCTTTCTCTTGTCTGTTATCTGTGCAGGGTTTCTCTTGTCTGTTATCTTTGCAGGGTTTCTCTTGTCTGTTATCTGTGCAAGGTTTCTCAAAGTCTGTTATCTGTGCAAGGTTTCTCTTGTCTGTTATCTTTGCAGGGTTTCTCTTGTCTGTTATCTTTGCAGGGTTTCTCTTGTCTGTTATCTGTGCAGGGTTTCTCTTGTCTGTTATCTGTACAGGGTTTCTCTTGTCTGTTATCTGTGCAGGGCTTCTCTTGTCTTTTATCTGTGCAGGGTTTCTCTTGTCTGTTATCTGTGCAAGGTTTCTCTTGTCTGTTATCTGTGCAAGGTTTCTCTTGTCTGTTATCTGTGCAAGGTTTCTCTTGTCTGTTATCTGTGCAGGGTTTCTCTTGTCTGTTATCTGTGCAGGGTTTCTCTTGTCTTTTATCTGTGCAGGGTTTCTCTTGTCTGTTATCTGTGCAAGGTTTCTCTTGTCTATCTGTGCAGGGTTTCTCTTGTCTGTTATCTGTGCAGGGTTTCTCTTGTCTGTTATCTGTGCAAGGTTTCTCTTGTCTGTTATCTTTGCAAGGTTTCTCTTGTCTGTTATCTTTGCAAGGTTTCTCTTGTCTGTTATCTTTGCAAGGTTTCTCTTGTCTGTTATCTTTGCAAGGTTTCTCTTGTCTGTTATCTTTGCAAGGTTTCTCTTGTCTGTTATCTTTGCAGGATTTATCTTGCCTGTTATCTGTGCAGGATTTCTGTTGTCTATCTCTTAAGTAATGGGCTTCAGCTGTACCAAGTAAATATCTTTTGGCAAGGAATGATATCACTGGATTTTATCAGCATAGATAATTTGATTATATCTGACAACAAGACAATCTTCCAATAGTATATCACAAACGGAAATGACAATTAGGTGTAACAGAAACAGAAAAAAAAACCAGACCCTTCAAAGGGTGGACTAATAGAATAGCAGATGCAGTGAACACCACCTTGTATGCAGCATACATAAATGCCTTGAACAAAAATGCCTCACTAGCAGAATGAAACTTGGGAGGGAGTTATCAGTTAAAACCGGGGGGGCATACAGACAAAGAATCGGGAAAAGATCATGCGAGGGCCTGAGTTATGTGTATACATCCATTCTTCTTTCCGTTTTCCTCTTACTGATACCAGGTTGTAGCCCAGTGTTTGTAGCGTGGCTTGGGTGAGGGATTTGTTAATCTTTGTTAATCTTTTTTGCAGGTTTTGGCTACACCATTTATCCATCTCTTTCTAGGTCTTCCCCTCACCTTCCTCCCAGATGTTCTGCTGTAAAAAGTCTCATATCCAGTTTGGCCTGGCTGCATTCTCACTAGTCTGCTGAGTCATTTCATTCTTTTTCTGTCAGTATGGTCTTATCTCAACTTTCTCTCTAATGCTGGTAATGCTAATGCTGGTACCTTGCAGCTTTTTGTGTTGTTAGTGACTTTGATGAGATGGTGAATTTCATATGTAGTTATTTTCTGTCCTAGTGCCCTATTCATTGTCCATGTTTGGTGCTGAAAGCATAAAGTTGGGATGAAGATCCATTTTACTGGCTTATTTGTGGGTGCAGTTGGCTGTTCTTTGCCACTTGAGCAGATGCACTCCGACTTCGAAGGAAGGCTTAATTAGTTGACTCCCCATAGTGGGTCCTCAAAACCCACCCGGAAACCCAAATTAAATGATTGGATTACATTTATGTCAGACTACAGAAATGAAGATTACTAGACAGTTTTGGTTCTCTAGTGCAGATGCATCAACTTTGAAAGGAACCAACCACATGAAGTTCAGAAGAGTCACACACACAAAACCAGACAGTATACAGAACCTTGGTTCTTGAATGCCTTTCTTTTGGAATAATTTGGTTTGTGATAAAACTTATCACAGGACAGACAACTTGGTTTCAGAATTTCAGCTCTTGAACAACTTAATCAAAAGTCCTATCTCCATTCGTGTAAGTAAATGATGTTTCTTTTCTTCTGGCCAAAATGGAGGGAAGGCTTGGCAGAATGTTAAGCTTCGAAGTTATTTTTGCATCCGACAGCACTTTGCTAATGCAGTTTCCACACAAAGATGGTAATCTATGGTTTTGCTGCCTGAGCTACTGAGTTTAGTGCTTGGTTGCAGCCCTGTGAGCTGTGTTTATCCTGTGGAATGTCTTTTATTTGCGCAGCTGTTGTGTCATTTTGTTCAATATGGCCGGTTTACGTGTGAGCTGGTAAAATACCTTTGTGTGTGTATAGTAACAAACATATCGTGCCTGACTACTTCCATCAATGACAAACTGCATTTCTGGTTATGATTGTTGGCTTTGCCACCTCAAGCAACTGAAATACGCATTTACTGTGTGCACATATTTCTGGATTGTTCCGGAACTAGTTTTGTTTATTCACCAGTTTTTCATATGCAACAGTGAGGAACATTTCATTTGATTTGCACTGGCACAGGAACGGAGCAAGTATGGGGAAACCTGATTGCAGTGATGTTGAAACCTGGACTAACTAAACTAAACTTACTTATCTATACCATCGACGCATTGGGCATATTATTACGAAGTGGTCAAGCCATTTGCCTCATGTTCTGAAGGTCAAGGGTTTGTTTCTTGGCTGCGCCGTTCAGTTAACGGCTGTTTGTTCACACTGTGAAGTATAAGTTAAGATCCAGGGTTTCTCTTTTATAAAATGATAAAGATGCTTCACACAGAAATGTAAGATTTAAAGAGTTTCAATGTCCTAACATTTGCTATAATTTCAGGCTACAGTGACCCATTTTGTGTTGTCAGTGTGAAAGGAAAGAAAGTGTTTACTACCACTGTCAAAAAAAAGACCCTGTTTCCCAAATGGAATGAAACAGTTACAACAGAGATGTCATTGGTTGATTCACCTATTCTCACCATTGTAAGCAAATCCTTATTTTATTTGTAATATTGATCACTGTTTTTTCTGATTGTGAAGATTCAACTTCAGAATGATGGGTGGCCAGATGTATTTTGATAAGCTTAGTCAACACACTTAATTTTTTAGAATCATCAACTGATACTAATGTTGTGTTAATTAAGACCAAAACATTGCCCTAACTGTGTTCCTTCAAAAATAGACATGATAATGGTGACAACTTAAGCAGAGTTACAGTAGAGTAAAAATTAAAGTTAAAGATTTGTTTCACATTAGAAGACTGGCTTCATTGCACCTGTTTTTCTCTGTCCTGTTTGCGGAATGGCTAGCTGCCTACTGAGAGTATCACATAAATGCCTGAACTCTGTAGCTGTAATGATGATCCTCAGGAATCTCTGTGACAGTTGCACTCTTGATGCAGTCGTTAAGGTTAACCTAGATTATCTGGCATAAGACCTGACCACTTAGTGATTACCAAATAAAATTCTCTTCATAACATCATCATCATGTGCTCTGCTGATAATCATCAACTGTGTTTTGCCATCTTATGTGATCACCTGAATTACGAATCAGGTGATTTCAACAACAGCTTAATTACAAGAACTTATGTAAGATAATCAAACACACATTTGCAGCTTTTAATGTTCAGATTAACTTAGATGTGAGAAAGTATCCCACTTTGTTAGAAACTGGAGTGCTTTTTTTCCCTTTTTTTTAACACATTTTTTTTTTCTTGTTGTTCAGTTGTTCTCAAATGCTTAATTCAGATACAGATGCAGATGTTACCCTTAGACACAGTGTTGATTCAATGCTACTGTATTGCGTGAATACACTTCAAGTTGTGAAGAAATCATTTGTAGGCTGCCATAATTTAGTTGGAGTCATGTAAATGGCAAAGCTGATCGTACCAGAGGTCAATGCAAATGTGGCCTTTTTTAGTATATTGTAGCAAGTTTGACATGGGCAAATATTTCAAGACTAGTGTAGGAGTGAGACAGGGTTGCATACTATTCTCTGTCCTTTTTCAATTTGTATTGGGAACACATCATGAGAAAAACACTAGAAAATCATAAAACATCTACATCCATTGCTGGAAGGCTGCTGTGTCATTTACGTTTTGCAGGTGACAAAGATCTCATGTCTGGTTCCGAAACAGAACTTACTAATTAGAGACAGTCTGTCGTAAATATTTTAAAGAAATCTCTGCAGAGAAAAGCAAGATTCTGGTAAATCACAATAATCAAGTACCTATCAACATACAGATAAAAGCAAATAAACTAGAAAAAATTAAAACCTTTTAATATCTTTTCTCCCCAATATGCAACGAACACAACTGTACCAAAAAGATAAAGACAAGACTTGATATGGCAACAGTCGCATTGTATCAGCTGAAAATGATGTAATAGAACAAAATCAGCATCGCAGTCAAGGTCAATACAAATCAATTACAGTGGAACTTCGCTTAACGAGCATAATTCGTTACAGAATCATACTTGTTAAGCGAAACACTCGTTATGCAAAACAATTTTTCTTATATAAAATAATGTAAAATACGATAATGCGTTCCATGTAAAAAAAAAAAAAAAAAAAAAACTCACAAAATGCTATGTATAACGTTTATTCAAAGAAAACTATTATATTCTCTATTGTTAAGGAGAGTGAAACATCTTCATCTTTTCTTCAAACGCAGAACGATCCCAACTGGAATGTTAATTTGATTTGCAGAACAAAAGTCGAAATAATTATGATACATAGCTTATTATTTTTTTTAATAGAACGATGTCCGGAAACATTTGTTTTTCCCACGCTTATCAAATTTGTGCAAAAATGCGACACAGCATTATCAATAAATAAATTTGCAGTGCGCATAACCACTTCCTTATTAGGGTGATGCTTTTCAATGTAAGATGCAACAGTTTCCCATGCTTTCAGCATTTCTCTTATTTCGCCAGAAATTTGTTGCTTTTCTGTTACCTCCTCCTCTGGCAAACTTTCCTCCAAAACCTCTTGCCGTGAAACACAATGCAACTCAATAAGCACTTCGGTGGTCAGCTCTTGGCTGTGCTCTTCCACAAGCTTTTCGATACTGTTATCCACCTACAATCCCATGATAGTGACCAAAGGCACAATCTCGTTGACTACAGATTCCACAGGTACTGTCTCGAACCCCTCAAAGTCACAAATCAACAATGCTCTCCGGCCAAAGCTTCTTCCAAGCAGAAGTTAGGGTTCTCTTAGTAACCCCTTCGCCGCCTTGTCGATCATCTTGAGGCAGGCAACGATGTGGAAGTGATTTCTCCAAAACTCTTTGAGAGTTAGGTTAGTCCCTTGAGTCACCTGAAAATAATGCTTGAAGAGTGCTTTAGTATAAGAGCTTCTTAAAGTTAGAAATAATTTGCTGGTTCATTGGCTGGAGTAACGGAGTGGTGTTGGGAGCCAGAAACTGGATCTTGATGAACTTAATTCTTCAGAGAGGTCATCTTGTAGGCCTGGAGAATTCATGTACATATATCACAATAAAACACAAGTTTGAGAAAATGTGTGATCACAAGCGACACTACGATGCTACTGGAACGAGTGCTAAACACAGACTGATGTAACATGCGCACAATCCGGGACTTTCCCACTCCTCGCCACTTGTTATGCGAAACGTCGCTCGTTAAGCAAGTCATTCTTTTACGATTTTTTTTGCTTGTTATGCGAATTACTCGCTAAGAGAGGTGCTCGTTAAGCGAGGTTCTACTGTATATTGTCTATTTGTCCATTAATACACCTCTACAACCCTATTGGGTCAAGGGTTATGTTATATATGTTAACAAATGTTAACTTGAGTACTCTTCAGTATCTATTATAGAAATATGATTGATTCACTCACATATTACAATAAATGGCTAATGTCACATTATGTTGTATTATGAGGGTTATGTCTAATGTTTGGGTCTACTATTTACACACACACACACACATATATATATATATATATAAATTTATATATATATATGTGTGTGTGTGTGTGTGTGTGTGTGTGTATATATATACACACACATATATATATATATACACACACACACACACATATATATATATATATATATATATATATATATATATATATATATATATATATATATATGTGTGTGTGTGTGTGTGTGTGTGTGTGTGTGTGTGTGTATGTGTGTGTGTGTGTGTGTGCGCGTGCACACACACACATATATATATATATATGTGTGTGTGTGTGTGTATGTGTATATATATGATAATGATGTCTCTTCTTATTTGGTCTGGAGCAAATAGGTTTTTTTTTATTTTTCAAATAACCTGCACAGTTGTGTCCTGCTAGGCAGGTTACATGACTTGTTTATGAATAATTTTGTTGGAAATCTTTTAGGATGTTTTTGACAAGGATGTTATTTCAAAAGACTTCATGGGCAAGCTGACATTGACCATTGATCAACTCAAAGAACTGTCCATTAAGGTATGAAAGTTCCATTATATTGTTGTAATTTGATGTGGCTGTTGATGCAGTGTGACAGATGTATGTCATCATTAGACAATTGCTGCGTTGGAAGGCCAGTGGAGAAGCATGAGCTAATCGTGTAGCGTGAAGATATCCTGCTTGTGCAGTAAACTGTGTTGTTGTGTTGTTCAGCCATCACACGTGATGAAGACCACTGTTTCTTTTATTTGTCATGAAACGTTAGTTAAGTTCTGTGAGTCTGAAGGCGACTTAAAAGCCCAGTACAGGCCTGGAAGTATCTAGGACAATGAGGGCAGGGAACGGAATCTGTGGGTAAGGGCCTGTCTTTCTAGCCTGCTGCGCTGCTCTAGCTGCCCTTTGTCTTGAAGCCTTGCCTGTCACTGCCCTTCTTTGTGCAGCAGCCTCTCAAGTGCCAGGGTCTATATTAAAGGCTTGAAGTGATGCCTTTAGTGTGCCCTTAAAGTGTTTTTTCTGGCCACCATGAGAGTGTTTACCTTCCTGCATCTCACCATACAAGATTATTTCTGGAATGTGATTAAATAATGCATTATCATTTTTCAGGGTTCACCAGAGTGGTTCACCCTGGAAAAAATCAAGGGTGGAAAATTACAGCTGAAATGTCAAGTGATTGCTAAAGACACATTGGTAAGACATTTATGTTATATTAAGAAAACAGTACAATGAGCTAGTTAGATCACTCATCTATTAACCACCTGATTAAACTTTGCTGTTTAAAATGTATCTTCATATATTTTTCAACAGTAAGTGTCTGTTCTAGTTTAGGCTTTATAATTTTTATTTTTCAGCATATTTTTTATTAGTTATATACCAAGTATAAAAAAACATTGTTTTGTTAACTTACTATTTTACAATATTTTGGCAGTTTTTAATTCTTTAACACTCAGGGGAGGGGCGAGACGGATATACAATCTGACTGTTACTGGTACCATCGGAATTTTAACTCTTCGCTTGCTGCTGAAGATGGGGACGGAGCACTTATGGGAGTGTCCCGAGTGCTGTGATGTTGATTCCTAATTCAACATTCAACATAATTCTTATAATTATTAAAGGAAGTCAAGGTGGGAAAGTATGGGAGTGAATAATACAAAATTGTCTGTTCATAGATGCATTCTGCTGTTTTAAGGCAGCTGTTTCATGGTGCTCTCTGACAGTAGAATTGTAAGAATTGATGCTCCAGGTCTTACAATTAATGATAAAAAGATCAAAAGAGAAAGCAAACTGAGATACCTGGGTATCACTTTCCATAGAAGCCTCTCATTTGGGGATCATGTGGAGGCAGTTGTGATGAAATGGCACAGAGGTTATGGCAGCAATCGATGTGGAACCAACAATGTTGTTCATAGTATTCAAGCATTTGATCCTGTCGATGATAGATTAGGGACTTGGAATGCTTACCATATAAAAGTTTCAGCTGATGAAACTTCAACTTATACAGAATGAAGCCATGAGGATAATTCTGGGATGTATAAGAGATACCCTGGTAGTATTATGTGATGTATACTTGCACAGCGGCTATTACAGATAGGCTCAAAGTGCTGCAAGCTAAGTCATATCTCAGAGTGGCTGCATATAGGAAACACCTCCTGCATAAAGCCCTAGTCAGAGTTAAAGGTCACAGACTGAAAAGAGGAAGGTCTAAGATGATGCAAACTGAAGACACAATTAGACATGTTTGTAGGCTTGATAACATTGGACAAGGAGAGGAATAGGTCAAAATGTCCTAGCAAAAGTCAGTCTTATATAGGTTTCTAATTACACTGGGCCGTGAGTGCAAGAACTGGCCAGCGGGTATTGCAAAATCAGAAGTTCGACAAATGATTAATAACAATTCTTGCCCAAGTGATTTGATAATCTGTACAGATGGCTATGTTTTGAGAGGCAGGTGAAGCACATAGGAGTTCTTAGCAAAAGTGAATGGACATTGCTTAGTGCAACAAAGCCTGGTATATAATACCACAGCATCTAGTTTGAGAATGGAGGTGGAGGCAGTCACTGCAGCCTTTCGCTGGCTTGAGAATCAGCTGTACATGTGTTTAATGATTGTAACCGACTTACAGAGCATGCTGATAAAGGGGGAAACTGGTATGCTCCATGAAGAGTAACAAGCATCTCTTCATAGTTCCCTTTGGATATTTTTTTCAGGGTATGCTAGTGTATTCAGAAATAACAGGCAGATAGACTTCTGGTTGTGCACAACTGGTGAATTGATGCATGACAAGCTAGATACTGTAAGGGCCCTTTGGGGGTGAGTGAACAGTGCAAAAACAGATGGATCATCATGGTCTGAAGAGAATGGCACCGCGAGGTGTGACAGGGAGATCTGGTCAACAGTCTCAGCTCTCAAGGGAAAGTTGAGACAGATATACAATCATACAGCTGTTGGTACCACTTCAGTTAGAACTCTACATTTGCTGCTGATGATGGGGAGGAAGCACTTATGGGAAGGTCTACAGTTCTTTGATGATGATTCTTAATTAAACATGAAATGTTGATTCTTAATTAAGCATTAAACATTCTGATGTTCTAATTCTTTGACTTCACTTTGCTTTAAGATGTTCATGTAGTTTGTCTATTTATGAAATTAATTAATCAAAGGGAGCACACACAAAATCAGTAGATGAAGCTCTCTGGATAATTCTTTATGAAATTTAGTACCAAGAATATATGCAGTAAAAATTACTGAAACCTTAAAAATGCTTATAATGTAAACTGTGTCTATAATCATCCTTTAGCCCAAAAAATATTTTGAAACGATCTGTTGATTTTTATGAAAATCAGATTTATTGTTCACACTCTTTGCTGAATGTATGTTGTATGAGGAATTTGTGTTATTTAATTCTTCATTTTTTTTTTTTAAGAGAAACATGAAAGAACAATCAAAACCGGCTGATGGTGTTTTTGAATATCCACCTTCAAATACGGTAATCATACATTGTTTAAATCACAGCCTAAATAATTATGTAATTCATAAATAATCACACAGGTATTTTGCATCAGTAAATCACAAAGACAAAAATAACTTACTTTTGTCATATTTACTTAATCAGAGAAAGACTAATAAATACAAATAGATCGAAATGTAAAATGATAGCAGACTTCTCAACTATTCTACTATAGCCCATTTTTACCTTGACAGACTAGTTTTGTTTTACCGAAACTTACAAGTAAATCCTTGACAGACTAGTTTTGTTTTACCGAAACTTATAAGTAAATCCTTGACAGACTAGTTCTGTTTTACCGAAACTTACAAGTAAATCCTTGACAGACTAGTTTTGTTTTACCGAAACCTACAAGTAAATAAAGGCTATTCTGGTTGGACTGGTTATCTGGTACAGGACATTAAAGAAGCATTGACTATGAAAGCACACAGGGCGGCAGAATTGGCCATAGAAAGAGAGACTTTCAGGCATGCCGTCGTAAAGAGAGTAACTTTCTGTATAGGATGTGCTGATTGATTGACTGAATTTATTGATTGATGGATATTTTGTTTAGTTTACTATTTTTCTTTAGGCCATTTCTATTGAAAAGATCAGTAAAGGGAGATCATTTAGATGGAGACTGCAAACCATCTTCAGCTTGTACATCTTGCACATCACATTTTCAAGGACAAATTGTTGGGACAGAGGTCAGGCATGGTATTTACGTTTTAGGGAGCCACTTTAGTGGAGTGGCTAGCAAGCTTGCCTGCTGGCCCATTGATCATAGTTTCTAAACCCCGTTAAAATTAGAATTTAATTTTTATTAATAATTGACATGGGCTGCCACATTGACCCAGCATAAAATGCGACCTAGAAACTGTCAGAAGCAAAAGTGACTGGCATATATTGACCACCATCACTCAGCAAGTACTGGTTAATTTATACAAAGGAGTTAACCAACAGATTGTGCTCACTGCACATCCAACCATTCAGTCCAGCATGCTCAGATACCTCTAGTATATCCCTTAGTGTGTAGTGAGCGATGAGACAAGCTCTGTATTGATTAACTGTAACTGCTCATCCACCATGATGAAAAACAGTAAAGGTAAACAGGAAACTCAATGATGGTTTCACACCTTCTTAGCACCGGCAAAATTCTTATAAAAGGATCTCCTAGTCTAGCAGTTCTCAGACTTTTTCCGCCGCGGCACACCTGTCAGGAAAAACAACTTTCTCAACACAGCTACCCTTTTAGCGGTTTGAATACTTAGTGCACATTGAATGTTCTCTTTAATGCAATGAATGAAACTGTTTGGATAAATTTTTTATTATTTCCTTTGCTCCTGTATCTGTTTTTTTTTTTTTTATGTAAGCGTACGTTGAGAATGCACTGAAGCCTTGGCAGTAGCATTGTCTTCTGAATACACCTGCATTCGGAACTCTTCTTGGCTTCTTTCACAGTATTTCTGGTTTAAATTGCAGTCTTCACTGATCTCAAGCAGATTTTAAGAAATTCTTGATTATTGCCGCGGCACCCCTGGCATACACTCGCGGCGCCCATTTTGAGAACCACTGTCCTAGTCTACCTCCTGGCACTTTTAGTGCCACATAAGAAGTAACATAATCCATCCTACACATCCAGGTAATGTGGTTACAATAAATTCACACAGGCTGCTGCTATTTTGTTTATTGAAAAACAGCATTAATACAAATGTTGGGATGGCTGCATGTACTGTATAAGTCTGAAGGTGTGAAAAACATAATCCTTTATTCCTTTTTCTGTTTTCAACTCAGGTTTCAGTCAACATTGTTTATAATGCAGTCTTTCTTTTTCTCTCTCTGTTTCTCTCTCTCCAACATTGTCTCTTTTGCCTCCTCACTCTCTCTCTCTGTTTCTCTCTCTCTCACTCTCTGTCTCTTTCTGTCTCTCTCACACACACACACACCCCCCCACACAAACAATACATGCACACACAGTTTGTGTCTATTTTTTGCATTTGATTCATGCAGCTTTATTTACTCGGCCACTGTGCACTTTATAAAAAAAAACTGTTTGAATAGAATGACAATTTATTATTTGATTCAACAGCAACTCTTCTCTTTGTGTGAAGTTTCCTTTAGTCAGCCTAGTTGAATCGGCAGGTATTGTCAACCTTTTCACAGCTGCACTCGTCTGTGTTGCAACATGTTGACATCTTCTGTTCAGTATAGAACAGCTGACTTCAAATGATACAAGCACTGTAGTAATGCCCTCCTCATATTTAACATGTATTTACTGTGAGCTTATGCTACTGGCCATGTACCTACATGAGTGTCTCTATTTGACCAGGCTGTGGTGTCAGACCTAAATGTTACAGACAGCTCCATGGGTTCACCTGAAGCTAGAACAGATCAGAGTCACATCAGTTTTAATTCTCCATCCAAGGTTATATTGCCTGTAAATTACTGTCCAATGAATGCTAAATAGTTCATGTGTTAAGGTTCATGCCAGCCAAATTCAGTTGCCATTTTAGACTTTGGATGATCTGGGAGCCCCAGATCAGTGAAAATATGCCCTTGCTAGTCAGCAAGGCACTTTGTGATGATGTCAATGTTGATGCCCCAAAATATTAGTGGCATTAATTATGGCTGGATACATTTCTTAGATATTACTTCCATCTTCTTACAGTTTAGGCTAAGATATTTCTTTAGCACTTTCTACACTTGCATTTTTTTTTTCTTTTACCTGCAATCGACTGCAATTTTTCTTGGCATATTTTATATAGAACTCATTATGTGCTCACTGTATAATAAAAACATGTAAAGGAACAGTTCACATTCTTGAAAGCTCATGTTTCTAACTTATGGATGCTCTTTACTATTTTCATATTTGTGCTAGAAATGTTCATATGTTTTAGGATCTTTTTTTTTAAAATCAAATGTCACTTTATCAAATGCTTTAATATAGTCTGTGAATCGTCGAAACATATCTTTTTATTGTTACTTGTGTCACTGAATGGTTTGCTTTGTTACATCTATTCTTGTACGTATGTAGTGATCTTTTCTGTTTGCCAAGTTTTCAAGTTTGTCACTTGCTCCAGGGAATGTTCTGTGAATTGGATCTTTATTGTTTTTTTCTTCTTTGGCTATGATCATGATATCAGTTTTAATTTTATGTTACTTGCAGACTTAGTTATGTCAATTTGTCATTTTTTTTTTTAAAGTAGCAGTTAATGCTTTGAAATGTTATATCGAGCCTGTTCTTTGGTAGTAAATTTTGGAATGTGAGCAGAAAAATTAAGAAGAGTTTGGAGGCAGCTGAGATGTGGTTCTTGAGAAGAATGTTAATACCTTGGACTGCGAGAATAACCAACATAGAATGCCTGGAAATGGCTAATAAAAGTAGAACATTATATACAATAATGAGAAGGAGACAAACAAAGTTCTTTGGTCATGTAATGAGAAAAGGAGCACTGGAAAATATTGTGACAACTGGAAAGATCACTGGTAGAAGAGGCAAAGGCAGACCAAAAGAAATGAGGGTGGATGGCTTAAGAGAGTGGCGTGGAGGAATATCATCAGTAGAATTGATTCAGAACACCAAAGACTGAGATCTGTGGGGACACATGACCGCCTACGCCAGCTGGCAAGGCACTTGATGATGAGTTTAATGCTTCATTGTCTGCGTATAGTTCTTTAATGATGTAATGTGCCACTGATTCTGTATATTAGCTAGTTCATTTACATTGAATTTACTTAATAGTTGTGAACATTGTAGCTATCTCGTTAATACAAGATTTGTTTGAGTCACAACTTGTATGTTAATCAGGTGTTGTTTGTGAATGGCATTATTTAATCTCTCAGGTACTGATTTCTCCCCATAAACATTTACATGTTACAGTCATTACTAATTTTAAATGTATAGTTTTCAGTTTCTAATTTATTACCATTCTTACTCATTCTCCTTGGGTGAGTTAAATTTAACCCCACTAGGACCACACATGAGCGATTAACATGCGCTGATGCAAAGTGTCACCACTTGGATGAGAATTCCCCAGATGCAGATCCCTAAAACATCATTCAGCCGTATGATTATATATAGGGCCCCTGATGGCCACAAAGTAACCTGAAGTCCTGACGGGGTAGGGCAAATATAATTAATACTCACCTTATATTTGATTAAAACACAAAGTACGGTTATGTATCAGAAATAAGTTTCTTCAGATTATAGGCCATATAACTATTACTTGTTATTTTCATTGTTAAATAGACCTCTATAAAATCTGGAGTGAAAGCATCATCTGATCAAGACTTAGATAAGAGATTGGATGAACAAGATGGTGACAAAGATCATTCAACATTGCTGAGAAAAAGAAGTCCAACAAAAATCGTGCGCAGTGATTCGTAAGTTACCTGCCATGTAGCTGCTGCTCTTCATTTTATGAACAGCTTAACTCTTTCATGATGGCATTTTTCTGTGGTTTGGACAGATTTAATTCTGAGTGACATTTTTTTTTAACCACAACATAGCAGAGCTCAAGCTTTCCTGCAGAAACAGTGTTGGCTGTATAGTGACATTTAATGTATCAAATTGAAGTAAAATTAATACAGACTGCATCTAAACTATTACAGGATCATATTAGAACAACAAAATATTAAAAACACATTTAAGGATGTTAAGACACAGGAATATTTTTAACAGGTGAAGTTTTGTACTTACATTACTTTTGTACTTGATCATCAATACTGCTTTCCATTTCTAAGAATGCACATGCCTTCTCTACTTAATTATGCATCAGCTAGTCTTTATTTGAGACAGTTAATTTAAATGCTTTGGATTTTATGACAATTTTTGTATGACACACCAGATTTCACAACATTTACATTTTAAATAAACATATTTATATGAAGGTAGTTCAAGTGATGATTCAGACTTTTATTTATCTGACAACGTTGATGATCCTGAATACAGCAACTTACTGGGTGCTCTCAAACATCCCGACACCAGCAGTATGGACAGTTCTAGGTGAAGGTGAAGTAGAGGATTGACTTCATTGCACAGGGTAAATAGCCGTAAAAGAAGAGGAAGAAAACAATATTGTCATCTGTAAAATGTACTGACAGATTTCTTTCTAGTGTTCATGTTTCCAATATTATTGTAATAAGCAACTATTTGTTTCAGCTGCTTTTATATTTTGTATCAGAGTGTATGTGATGTATATGAACTTAAGTATGTTTACTGATATTATCTATTTTCCCCATGTTTGAAGGATAAACTCTGTAAATGTGGTACAAAGAAGCTGGGACCAACATTCTGTTGGTAAGTAACCACTTAAATTTTGTTACTTGCCATATTTTTTAGACTTTGAATTTTTTTTTTAGTACAGAACAATGTTTACATTGTATTACTTTTGTATCCAAATTCATAATCCTTTCACAGGCAGTTCAACTTCTCTGGGAGAAAAAGTGTATAGTGTCAGTGGTAGAGTGCTACGCTTGCGTGGCCATCTTCCTGCAGCTACTAAGATCTACTGTAAAGTTCGTCTGGAAATGTAAGTCACCTCAAGTGTTTCACTAATTGTTGCCTACAGAAATATTTTCTTTGGATGTACAGCTTTTTTATAAAGATTAATCAGTCATACACATTGAACACGCTATTAATGTCATTGACAATGAACAAATCACATATGCAAAAAATAACTACGTGTGAAATGCGATGTCTCCGAAGAGTCACCAACAATACACGAAGAGACAGAGTCACAAACGTCAGCATTAGAGACAAAGTTGGAACAAGAGCATGCATGAAACATATTGAAAGACAGAGAATGAAGTGGTTTGGCCATTTAGTAAGAATGCAACCGGATCAGATTCCCTATAAGGCCTTTTACAGTAGAACATCGGGAAGAAAGACCAGAGGAAGACCCAGGAAAAAATAGATAGATGGAGTACATGAATTTATTGATATGAGTTGTTGTTGTTGGCACCTTGCCATCTGTCAGTGTTATATCATGCTTTATGGAAGCATGAGAATCACAGACAGTGGCAATGGTGAGCATGACTCACAAAACCTGCTCTTGTAAAGAAATGTCTTCTCTTATTAGAACATGAGTTGCAGCACCATTTTTACTATAATAAAAATATTTGTCATGCTTCTTCTCAGATTTAAAAGGTTAAAGCTGAGAATCATTAAAGTCATTTCTTCTTAGACTCTAAGCTCTGAATTTGTCTGTAATCACTTTCCCCTTTATTCTGTTCCGTACTTAATTTTCCCCCTCCATGCAAACACAGTCGATGGCATCCTTGTCCCATGATTACCTATATAATTCATGTCACCATACACACATCTACAAGGTCCGACAATTAAGTAATGAGACAAATTCCATGCAAATTAAAATAATCAACAGTTGAAGATCTGACCCATATTTTATTCAAAGCAAGCTCCCTTGATACAGCGAGTGGCATGATCTAACCAACACTGGAACAACCTCTGTAGCTCTTCTGTTGTTATGGCCCTTAAAGTCGATGTTACAGTCCTTTGAATGTCATCTATATTGTCAAGGAAGCGTCCTTTCAATGGTAACTTTAATTTTGGGAATAGAAAATAATCACTGGGCTTTTTTTTTTTTTTTTTTTTTGGTCTTAGCAATAATAAAAATCAGTCTCATTACTGAATTATTGGACCTTGTTGAGGCCTGCCTCAACATTTTTTACCCATTTGTAATTCACTGTAGAGCAGGGCAATTCAACTGGCCGCCTGCAGACCACATGTCGCCTGCGAGACCTAGCAAATGGCCTGCTGATCATTGCCAGTTGTATTATGTAAATGATTTTCCTTTGCTTGGGCTCAGTCCTTTGGCCTGTTATGATCCCCATTTTCAAAATTTTGGACCCTGTGTAAACTTTTTTGAACAGCCCACGCTTTAAAGGGTGTCTTTGGGGACTCTGCCATCTTCCATCCTCTGAATGTGTCTTAGCTGTCTGAGCCCTGGAAGGTTGAGCACTGAAGCATGAGCTAGGAAGGCCCGAGTAGGCATGTTACTATTACTTCTGGCCAGAAATGCAGATTGTGGTGACAAATTAGAAGACCTATCGAGTGACGATTGACCTATAAAAAATATGCTGCTAGCGGTTAAAATGGACGCTAGACAGCGGTGCTGTTCGGAGCGGAGGCAAATATTTTGCTTCTGCCGGACGGTGGCCGAAGTATTTTTGCTCCATTTGTAGACTGGATATAGTTTCGTCGCCCAGCTTCTGAGTTGAATGCATGGCGTGACCCTGGGAGCTGCGGATTGCATTTGGAATGTTTTTTTCGACTGTGACCAACGTGGTGTGAATTGTAGATTCAGAAAATGGCGCGATGCCTGTCGTGCAATGCTGGCGGGACCCGTATTAAAAATTGATCGCGCTGGCAACTGCTGATCTGTTGGCGACAAGTTCTGCTATCATCAATGATGAACTGCATTTCTAATGCTGGACTGTTTGTGTTAGCACTTCGGATGGCTACCATATGCGTTAATGCGAGTGTATGCTAGATATGCTGAGACAGCAGTCTGTCAATCTTTCCACAAGGGACTGTGATAAACATTCTGGGTGTTTTTCGCTGGCACAGGAGCGGAGCAAAGATGGGGCGACCCGTTTGCTATGAAGCTGAAACTAAGACTACCAGACCAGACTACCAGACCAGACCATGCTGCTAGCTCAATATACCCAACCAGTAGTATAAAGACAGGAAAATTGGATCATTACTGTTTTATTTTTTCTTCCGTCAAAACATGTTTTTTGTTTACTTCAATCCTAGGATGAATTTCAGTAAATATATTAATATTTAATGAGAAATATTAATAAAACTAACCTAAATATGTTATTAAATATTAGTTAAAAAATCAGTTAAATAATAAATTGTGGATTCAATTTAGTATCACATATGACAGTTACAAGTAAAATCATAAGTATGGATAACATAGTGAGCTTTAGGGATAACATAATCTTCACAAGCATCTGTTGAGGAAAGTGGAGTACTTGTGTATGATGTCTAATCTAATTATTCTGCATTGTTTAGGGTTTATCTTATTTTGTCTTTTAATTTCCTCCTTCTCCTCAGTGTTTCAGCTCTTTTCCTCTTCTCCTGTTCCTCAATACAGTGGTAGCTTGTCATTTGAACAACTCCAAACTTGAACCAGCCTGGAATTCAAACAAAATTGTCCAGTCAATTTTACATGAGAACTTGAAGGCTACCATGGAAATCAAACACCTGGCACCTTCCAATCACAAGACTGAGCTGATAGCACAATAGATGTAGCACCTTCACCAGCAGCAGATAGAAGAAGTTGCAAAAGACATTTCTTTGAGGAAGAAGGGAAAGCTAGAAGGATTAGCACAGCTGTATTCCAATATCTTTTGACCATGTTGTCAAAATGACAAAAAGTTCTTGAGAGGTGACGCCCTGATAGAGCCTTAGTTAACAGGTGTCTTAACTTACTCAGTGATAACAGTATCAAACATCTTAGAAAAAGTAAACATGGTCACTAGCACTTTGGAATGGTTTCTCTCAACAAAAACTAGTGACCTGAAGGACACTACAAGTAGTGAATGACTACAATATGAAACACTAGAAAGGATTCCCTTAGTAATCGCAGAAGGTGACTCACGTTCCAAACAATAACGTCCCTAAATCCCCTTCCTCCTCCTGCTTCTTTCTTCTGTGTCACCATTTCTATCAAGGTACATTCATACAGTATTTTATATCTTTTGTATTTCTGTGTGTTTGTATGCAAATAAGACCATCATGTGTTACTATATTTACAATGTGCTGTATTTAGGCAAATACATTTTAAAATTTCAGTTTGTTGGATCCTGGAACAGATTAAATTAGTTTCTGTTATTTCTGTGGTAACAAAATTGCCTTAGAGTTTTGGTGATTTTGAATTCAGACACTCTTGAAGTGGATATTGTTCAAATTTCGAGGTACCACTGTATTCTGCATTTTCTAAATTGTTTCATGCTCTTTGTAAATTTCTTTCTTTTTAATTTTGCTCATCTTCTACATCATAGACAGACGTATACAAAACAAGTATACCTGTCTGTTAAAAAAATTCTGTTCATTGATTTACATTTCTTTCTGCAGACCTGGAAATCGACTTAGTCTTTTTCATCACAGCAGAATTATTGGAAAGTCTCAGATTGTCTCCTTGCATGATAATACAGTGGACTGCAATATTAATTTTGAGGTATGTAGTAGACAACTGTGAGCTGTAATAGTGGCCTGATAAAATCGCCTGCTAGTGTTGGGTTTTAATCTGCACAGGAAAATTGGGGGAGAGGGGGGAGTGACCTTAGCTCTCAGGTATTTAAGATGGGTACTAAGAAATGTCCTAAGAAGTAAAGATTGCTGGAGTGATGTTAACCACATTGCCAACCGAGTTCTTGTTTTGCTATTTAGATATATAAATACTAGCGGTACCTGGCCGCGCATTGCTGTGGAGGGTCAGAGAAGCCACATGGCTAGTGCTGTCGCCACGGACTGTTCAGGTTAGGATGTTTAATTGTGCCCCAGACAGAAAAACTCTTTAACAAGTTACTGGGGAGCGAACCTGGGTTTCCCGCATGACTGACGGCCTAACGTTGTAACTACCTGGCCACAACAATAACTGCTACTATTGTATTTCTGAGGTCAACAGTCAAACTTCGAGAACGCGCAAAATGAACGCCTCGGTAAACAACACAGATCAATTCCAAACATTGTCTGGAAAGCAGTGATAATAGCACTCACCAATTACTTTTCTATATATTCATTCAACGACTTGTCGTGCCCATAACGAAATAATTTATTATCTCATTCAGCTTCATACATAATAATTCAAACGCAAATCGGTCAATACAGTTCAAGTCCACCGCCATTTGCAATGATCCTCATAATGAAATAATACCAGCAGAATTAAAAACCTGCGCCGGGAACCCGGCAGTAAAACAAAAACCAATGTGATTGTCGCTAGAGCTAAATGGTTTGTGCTGTGTGCGACACTCTTACCAAAAAATGCAATTATTCTAATGCAATGATAGGTCAAAATTTGAAAGCGATCGGTGAAGAAATTAGCTGCCACTAACAAAGAAACATTTATAATTTTATTTAAATTGATCTGTCTAGAATCATACAGCCAATACATAGCTGGAATGAAAGAGTCCATTCATTTTTTTTTATAATTTCTAAAATGTGAGGCAGAGATACATAATATTAGTGGGGACCTGGAAGGAGCCACAAAAACCATAGCAGATTGCGTTAGTCATCACGTCTGTTGACAGCCTTCTGTCTTTTGTACTGCCAGTCATTTATTAAATAGATGTTCCTCCCTGAAATGATGCCAGACTACCTCATGCCTTCTTTCTTGGTCTCCCCCTGCATTTCTTTCTATTTAACTTTTCTATTATCACAACATATCTAGTTGCATTTTTTTAAATTAACAAAAAGAAATGTTCATTTATTAGTTTATAATGCAATTTATGTTTTAGAAAAACATGACATGTATTACCTGAAATATCATATGTGGTCATCTGTTAATGTCCATGGGTTTTTTCATCATGTTAGCTTGACAGAGGAGCAGGCATTACTGTGAATGCAGTCCTCACTTTTGACATCAAGTACTCAAACAAGCAGCATCTGGCAACAAAGTGCTTCTCATTAAGGTCACTTTTGGCTGGTAAGATGGGTTGTTGTTTTTTTTTTGTTTTTTTTGTTAACTTAAAGCAAACACAGTAGTCACCCCGGTGATCTAGAAAAAAAAAAATGGTTCACAATTAGGGAATTCCAACAACAAAATCCTTTGGGAAAAAAACCTTTTACAGTCACAAAATAAAATCATAACAGTTCCATTTATCGGCCACAACAATACTACATTCCATACAGCATATATGGAATCGTCGGCAAGCATGATTGCAACAGAGAAATATGAATTAACTGGGTCATGTGTTTGTGACCTAAAAAGTAAATGTTAACAATGACTTTTTTTTCCCCACTGACTTGGTCGCAGATTAACACTGACCAGTGGGAAAATTACAGTATCATAATTTCGGTACTCCTGTCAAATCCGGACGAAGAATAAAAAGCCTTGGACGACTTAGTCAGAGTTCTCTCCCTTGGGCGCACTGCGAACAGTGATCGGAAAAGCCACAACGAAACAAACGACACCAGCAACATGGCAGTTAGACGCACTCACATAACTAACATCGTTATTCCGACGCAATTATTTCCGGCAAGAATGCTATAATTGGCTGTTGAGACATACCGTGGAGCTGGGAGGACTCGATGAGGCCGGCAGATCTATCGTAGTTGAAGTAGACGAGAGCTACTTCTTCCGACGAAAGTATCAGCGTGGTCACACCACTCACGGTCGTTGGGTCGTAGGGCTAGTAGAGCTTCAGACTGGCCGTTGTTACTTGGAGCTTGTGCGAAAACGAGATGCGGCGACATTGGAGAGGATCATAACAGATCACGTCCTGCCGGGAACGACTATCGTGACTGACGCTTGGCGAGGCTACAGCAACGTGGCAAACTTACGGCATGGCATCTATCTGCACGAGGTAGTAGGCCACCAGACCAACTTCGTCGACGCCGTACTCAGTCACATACACACACAAACAATTGAGGGCCTCTGGATGCTGGTGAAACGCACCATTCATTAACGATTGGGCACCAGCCGCACACTATTGGCGTCATATTTAGCAGAATTCCAGTGGCACCACGCCCACAAACATCAGATTGTCGGCCACTATTTCCAAACCCTACGTCAAAATTTTAACATCTAACCCTAACCCTAACCCTAACCCGACCCCTAACCCTACCCCTAACCCTACCCCTAACCCTACCCCTAACCCTACCCCTAACCCTAACCCTAACCCTAACCCGACCCCTAACCCTAACCCTAACCCTAACCCTAACCCTAACCCTAACCCTACCCCTAACCCTAACCCTACCCCTAACTCTAACCCAACAACCGCATGATGATGACTACACAACCATTCACAATGCCTCACGAAACCGTACGCAGCCCTACACGCAACCGCAGGATGATAGGTAAGTGTGTCGTTTATTTCGTTTGTTTTCCGATTACTGTTCGGAGTGCGGCCAAGGGAGAGAACTCTGACTAACTCGTCCACGGCTGTTTATTCTTCGTCCGGATTTGACAGGAGAGCCATAATTTCTGTTAATAATAAATCCATGTTTTTTCTCATTGAAACCCCTCTACGTGCTATTTTTAGCAATGATAGTCATTCCCAGTCCTCCTAGATCTGTGGATGCAATCAATAACAGTCTTAGCTGGGCATTTCATGAACAGGAAATGTTAACGTGCCAGCATCACAGCAAAACAGATTTCTGAAGAAAGACAAATAGCAAACTAGATCATCAAGGAACTCCTGTTTGAGTAACCATCATCATCATGTAGCAGGTCCTTTGCAGAACGTCGCTCTCATCACGGTCTGCCTGAAAGAAACTCGGTCTCTCGACATTTCTCCAACCTCATGCACTTTCACATTCAAGGAGTCACTTATATCCTGTGCCCATCTTCGTGTCGGTCGGCCCCTGCCCTTCTTTCCTGGTACCATTTCCTTTCAATCCTTTTCATGATAATTCGTAAGAGGATTTTGCTAGCATGACTTATTAATGCAATGGTACGGTAGTTGGAGCATAGTTTTAGATTAACAATAACCACAGAAGAAAAAAAAACAATAAATATTCAAGTCACAGACACTCCCAGAATAAGTGAAGATCTTGAAGCACTTCAGAATATAATATAATATCTCAACTGGCAGATCAGAAGATGAAATCGTGAATAGATACAATAAAGCAAACCAACCTACTGGACAAACCCAGTGCTCAAAAACAAATGTATCAGTAGACACTAATTAAAGAAAAACTGTTTAATATAGTATTTTAACCAACTGTCAACCCCCCCCCCCCCCCCCCCCCCCCCCTCTTTATCCCAACTTACAGCTTCTGAGATGAGATCAATCATAAAAACGATGGACATAGGAAATATCCATTTATGAAGCACACAAACCAGCTTGACAGACATACAAATAAAGCCCAGAATGGCTTGGCCACATGGCATGAGTAGGATGAGAACATAGATGAGGTTTAAGGTTTTGAACAATGGATCAACATCATGGCACACGGGTAGTAACCAATAAGTGCTCCATTCTTCTTCTAACTCAAGTCTGAATCCGAAAAGCTCAGCACTGTGCACAGGTTCTGTACCCAGAGACCAGGGGGAATTACTAGAAGTCCTAGTCACAGGAAAAAATCCAAGCCCTTACTGGGGATTGAACCTGGAACCTCTAGCACTTGAAGCAGACACCATGCTCTAAGATCATGCAGCGCCCCCCCTTCCCCCCCCCCCCCCCCATGAGAACATAGATATGATCTGTGATTCTGGTCATAATGTGAGCCGGTATTTCATATCCAAAACTGGGACTGAAGTTTCATAAATGATATAGGAATAAGATTTCGCATCATTGATTACTATAACTTACTTAATAATACTGACTTTTACTCCAAACATTTATTTCTTGTAGATGGAGACAAGAGTTGCAGATGGATACCAATTGGCAAAAGTGTTGAAATTGAGATTTCAATTTCACAAGGTCAAAATAACCCACATGAGCAGCGACGTTCAGGCAGCATCCTCAAGTCGATATCTTTTCGAAAAGAAAAATCTAATCTCAAATTCCCATAATACACTGAGCACAGGACCAACTGTGTGCTGTCAGTTATTGTGCTGTGCTGTTATTCTGTGCTGTGATTGTTTGTGTTGAAAGTATGAGGCAAATGTTGAGTTATTTTATTATCACTATGTAGGTCAAAGCCTTTGCTGGACATTTAAAATGGGACAGTGACAAAGTTGTCCTCTTTAAGTTTGTCGTGAGTTGTTGTACTATTATGTTGTAAGCTGCTTTTAACTATACATGGTGATTAGCCCTTTCATCAGCTGTTATTAGACTATTCTTCTGGTTACACTATTTTAATATTCCATGTGGAAGCTTACATTTAGTTTGAAACAAGAACAGACTTGTGTAAATAACTATTCCTTCAACTTTAAATTAAATTGGAGCGTAAAGAGAAAAATGAATCTTACACAAAGCATGGATTTGTGAATTTGAACTACTGAAATAAAAACAATATATCAGTAAATGAAATAATTATTACACATACTTCATACACATATCACTGACAAGCACCGTATGTCAGGTATGTCTCCTTTATCAACTCTTAATGTAAATTGCTAATCAGGATGCTCACTTAAAATTTGGAAATTATGTGTATATAGATATCGGTTTCTTGTTTTATAAACAGTTTGTCATAACTCAAGTGCCATAGCCATTATTAACATTGCTTGTAATGGATCTCTATCACCCTCTGTCTCACTGTTGCTGTCAGCTTTGACAAACTGCTATTGTAAGCTTTGACAGATTGCTGTTGTAAGGTCTGACAGACTGCTGCTTATCCATCTTTGATATGTTTCCAGTTGTATCATGTCCTACTTCTTGCTCATCTTCCTTTGACTCTTTCCTCCAGCATGGGTTTATATTAAACTGTCATGTCTTTAAATATAGCCAAAATATTAAATGTGTTTGTTTTGGTTTTTTTTTAATCTTTCCATACTGTCTTTTTATTCTCATCATGCCTAGGATTTCTGTAATGTTTGTCCCAATAACGCTATAAAATGTTCTTTATTATTATCATTTCTGGAGTTATAAGTACCTGTTTGTTCTCCACACTTACACACATATAGCATTGCTGAATTTATTTAAAACTTAACCATTCTCATTGTTAAGTCTTTTTTAATCTACCTAAATGTGAATATCTTTGTCAGGTTTATGAAAGTATTGGCCATTCTTATATTTTATTTCATTTTTTAAAATATCCATGTCACTGCTGCCAACAGTTATTATTCTAAGTATTTATTTCTTGTTCTAGCATCTCTCCATTTAGTCTGACACTCATTGTTGTCCTCATTTTTTACATTGATATTTGTTTCTTTTGATGTCTAATCCACATGCTGCCATTTATCAGTCTAGGTGTTGCACACAGCTCTGCAAGTGCTCACTTTCTGCCAGTAATACCGTGACACCAGCACATTTAAAGTTGTTTAATATTTGTTTATTTAAGTTCAATCAAGATATTCCTCCAGCTTGCTGAAAAACTTTGGAACTAACGAAATATATTGTTATATTTTACATTGTATGAAATTAAAAGCAGCATTGAAATTAATATGTATCAGTGACATGTTTGAAGATTTACAGACAGCAGCGTCCATTCACATGATACAGTTGGTGAGAAATTTGCAGACACATAATCACATTCAAGTACTCTATATTTAAAAAGCCTATATTTTAAAAAAATCCATTCACATCTATTTTTGTCTGTTATAATTTTCATATATTCTTACAGAAGGCTGCTAAATTTCTTTGATATCTATTATGTTTTGTATTTTAGGGATTCTTTCCCTCCAAGTTTTTTCATATGCTGTATTTTAGAAGAATAAAGCCCACATTTGTAATTGACAGTAAATAATATGGTTGACAATAATTAATTTGATTATAACAGTTATAACTTCGTCTTTTCTTTTTCTATAACTTCCTCTCTTTTTCTGTTCTGCATTTTAGCATCAGATTTTAAAGAGACATCGGGTGAGAGCCTTATGTTAAGTAGATGCTGATATTTAGGGCCACAGATATTCCATCTTCCATTGCTTGCATGGTTGACCTCTATTCTGCTTCACTTATGTCTGAGTGACAGGGCTGTCCAATAGCCATGCTGCCTTAAATCTTCATGCTCGAAAGCAGAAGTGGTATATAAAGGCGGTAATTGGAGTTTTTGACAGGGCTGTCTGTGATGCACTACTTGTTCGTAGTCTTGACATATGTCCGAAGCATTTGATCATTTGTCTCTTGAGTATAACTATCTGAGTGTAATAAATTATAATGAAGCTGCATTTAACCATTTAGACTCAAGAAACTGAAATATCTGTGGTTTGTCAGGATTATTGTGCATAATGTCATTAAATATTAAAAAGTGGTGGGAAAATAACTGTTTGATTACTGTTATCATCCACGAAGTTGGCAACATTTTGATTCATATTTACCTGTCACTTAAAAAAAAATTAATTATTTACATTTTACTCAGTAGAACAGAGCATAAAATGCACTTTTAACAGATTTACTGTCAATAAAGTAGAAAAACAAGAACAAGTGAAACCAGACAAGGTAGCAATTATTTTCACATTTCTGTCTTATGACTGGTCTTAACCGTGCAATATGAATTTATATATACATGCACTAGATTATATTGTCTGGCTTTGCACAGGATGGTGAAAGAAAGTCTTATTCTCCTGTCCTCTACATAACCTAGGTCTCCACCACTGCCCTATATGTAGGCCTATTGGAAGTAGGGGTTTTACTAAATGTCTATATTTAATATTCCGTCTTCTCTTTTTATCTTTGCCTCCATCGCTGCTACAAGGTCCGACAATTAAGTAATGAGACTAATTCCATAAAAATTAAAATAATCAACAGTTGAAGATGTAACCTGTATTTTATTCAAAGTAAGCCCTTTATGCATTGATACAGCAAGTGGTACGATCTGACAATAGCCCTTAAAGTCAATGTAATAGCCCTTTGGATGTTATCAATATCGTTAAAGAAGCATCCTTTCAGTCGTAACTTTAATTTTGGGAATAGAAAATAATCACAGGGAGACAAATCTGGGGAATAGGATGGAAGGCTGATAAAGGCCAAAAAAAAATTTTTATTTTTTTTTATGATGTCTCTTTGGTACTCAACCCGATGATGTTTTTGGTCCTCAGACAACGAATGTGGCACAAACCGGCCAGCAACATTTTTTCTTACCAAAATCTTTCACTAAAATATTATGAATGGTCTCTCTGTTAACACCAGATGTATCTGCCATCGTCCGCACAGTAAAACAATGATCTTCTTGTATCTTTTCTCTGACTTTTGCAATGAGTTCATCATTACAAACAGAATTTTGGTTGCTAGGTCTAGGTGCATTAGTAATCATTTCCACATAGCTTTTGAATTTGAGAACGGGATAAACAATTATCCCCAGAAACTTGTTGCATCAATTCAAATGTTTCAACGGCACTTTTTCTGAGTTTTAAAAAGAATTTAATGTTAGCTTTTTGCTCCGTGCTGATTACGTAACAATGCATCTCTGACTAGGTCAACAAAATGGCAGCTTGTTTGTTGTCTGCTTATCGAGGGGATGAAAAGTTGCCAGATCATAGATTAATGTTGCCTCTTTAGATTCCATGCTTTGCTTCATAGATGGCATTTTTGTCTTGGCCATAATAAAATCAGTCTCAGTACTTATTTGTCGGACCTTGTATATCTTTGTCATTGCCTCTAATTGGACCCGAGGCATCACCTGTATCACTAACACCAATTTTTTAACATTTTGGGAGACAGATGAATGTGCTGTCTCGACACATCGATATGTGGTTTCAAGGAAGATAACAGTGAAATATGTTTTTTTTTTAAAATTACTTTTTCAAGGGAAGTAATATGAAAAAGAATATTCAAAGAAATACAACTCTAGCAAAAGTTTACTTTTACTGACTATTGCAATAAATAAAGAAATGCACAGTAACCATGAGCTACCATTGTGACTATTAAATTACAAATTATATTCATAATGGCAAATGAAAATTAAACCTGTGTGTTAGTCATGGTTTGGGAGGAGTTAATGCTTCGTTTATAATAAAGTTAATGCTTCGTTTGTAATAAACACACGAAATACAGAAAGGGTTTGTTATTGATAGTACAGATAACATGGTTCTTTTTTAAACATGATCATCTTGCTTTCTTATCCTTACGTCCTTTTTAAGACGTAATTTTTTGTTATTTGAAAACAGTTGAATTGGGTTTCTGGGTCTTTTGCCCGGGTGATCCTCATCCGAATGGTGGCACTTTATGTCACCAGGTGTAGGTCACTCGTAGCATGTCCGTGGTGGGGTTGAACAACTCACACACTTCACCTTCTCACAAATTAATTTTTTTTAACCCCATTCCGGCTATAGTCAGGGGCCCTAATATAACCTAATGGCTGAAAGAGGTTTCTGGGACCTGTAGCCGGGGAATTCCCATCTGAATAGTGGCACTTTGTGTCACCGGGTGTTTATCGCTCATTGCGTGGTCCTGGTAGGGGTTGAACATCACTTACTCATCTTCTTCTCACTGTTTACATATATATCCATTTTGTATATTCATTGCATTGCTTTTTTCGTCTAGTGTATATGTTATGTTACCAGTATCGTCTCTACACATATGGGACAGCTACCACTGCTCTTGCAGATTTTGACAGATCCAAAGTACAATTTTTTTTTAAAGGTCTTACAACAGTTAGAAGAAATTGAATCTAAATTTTGCAAATTTGAATTAGTTACGTAAATTTGATGGAAAAGAATGACAGTTTTTAAGGTCTCAGGCATCAAAGCCAGTGGAGACATTTACAGATTGCATTATTCCAAAAGACCTGTTTTGCTTTAATAATGTTCAAAATTACCATCATATCTTAGATAAATATTCTTAAATCTTTGTCTCTTTATCAGTTTTGACAGTTCATGCCCAGGTGATCTGATTATCTATACAGATAGTTCGTTGTTAGGAGGAAAGCAAAGTGCCTGGGGGGTCGTTGCAAAAGCCAGTGGAAAATCTT